ATTTTCTTGCTCAATTCTCGTCCTTCCAGATTCATTTTTAATTTCCTATATATACACATATATATATTACAGAGTTTTTTATGCATAACCCAAGTTTTAGTTTTCAAAGAAACAGAAACAAAAGAAACAAAAGAAACAAAGAGAAAGACAGCAGCTTCACGTACATATTATATTGTTGGTAATTTTTGAACGGCCTCGTTGTACTAAACATGGACAGCTTTTAGTTTTTTTTGCAGTATTCATGTGAGGGAGGGCCTTCAAGGTGTTTAATAATTTCATTTGCAGGTTGACATTTGAACTGCCTTGCTGGTTGCCTTGTTCTGTTTTCTTTAGCTTTGGAGGCAGAACCTAAAAAGAAGAACATATAGACTTTGCTGCATTATTCACAAGGGTTTTTGTAGATTCTGCTTCTGATGGGAGGCAAAAGCTCGAAAGATTCAAGCCCGAGGCCGTTTTCGCTTAGTGGATCAACTGCTTCTTCTTCTTCTTCTTCATGGGATCAGTATGGGTATCCACAGCCATCACGCCCTCCACAAAACCCCTACTGTACCCCTCAGCATCACTATGCACCTTCACCATCTTTTAACCGTGTGTCTCAGACAGTTACAGTGCCCAACCCACGAAGGAGGTTGGATAGAAAATACTCAAAGATAGCTGATAATTACCGTTCCTTGGATGAGGTAAGAACTTTACAATCTTCAGACCAAAAAAAAAAAGAACTTTACAATCTTGAAAGATGATAAAAAAAATTCTCCAGCATATTAATATCTAGCTTTGGCATGACAAAGTTGACACATACCAAGTTTTTTTTATCCTTATAATTATTGGGTTGATTTTTAAACTGAGGAGATGCCTATCGCTGGCTTTATCACTATTTCTGGGTTTTCTGATTTTTTTTTATATATGACTAATCACATCCAATCCATGCCATGAAAGTTGTATTTTGCTCAAGTTCAAGTCCTTACTTCTCCTGTCTCTGTTCTAGAAATTCAGCTTTTGATGAACATGGCTTTGATTGACCACAGGTTACTTCTGCTCTTGCACAAGCTGGCCTTGAGTCTTCTAATTTGATTGTTGGTATTGATTTCACGAAAAGCAATGAGTGGACAGGTTAGTCTCATCTTGATGCTAAAAAGTTCTTTGGTCAAAGAGCATCATCATTTGAAGGGCAATGCAATATGCTTAAGCTTTGTTTCCTGCTTAACAGGTTCGAGGTCATTTAACCGGAAAAGCTTGCATCACATTGGAAATGTTCAAAACCCCTATGAACAAGCAATATCAATTATTGGGAAAACATTATCTGTTTTCGATGAAGATAATCTAATTCCGTGCTTTGGGTTTGGAGATGGTAATTGAACGCAAAGCATTGTCTCCTCTCCTGCGTTATTTCTAGTGGAACCATACTATTTGGACCATGTGAATTATTTAAATTTCTTGTATATTCTTGCAGCATCAACACATGATCAAGATGTCTTTAGCTTCTATCAGGACGAACAATACTGTAACGGATTTGAGGAAGTATTGGCACGATATCGAGAAATTGTTCCCCATCTTCGACTTGCAGGTGCTGCAGCTAGCCTCTAGTCATTACACTAGGCTTTGGCCAAAATATGGTTGATCTGTACTTTTGTTCATTATTCTCTTTTGTTTCCTTGTCGCAGGGCCTACATCTTTTGCACCGATTATTGAGATGGCCATGACTATTGTTGAGCAAAGCGGAGGCCAGTACCATGTTTTGCTGATCATTGCTGATGGCCAGGTAATTTGATTTTAACCTACTTTTTAAAAATGAACTGCATTTTTCTATCATGAGGTGGTCTCATGCTTCCTATCTGCCTCACAAAACATTGCCATCGTCTTAGGTGACAAGAAGTATTGACACAAAACATGGTCAGCTCAGCTCACAAGAACAAAAGACAATCGATGCAATTGTAAAAGCAAGGTAAACTTTTCTAGAAACATGTCCTTTTATACGCTCGGGGAAAATCTTTCATAACTTGGTTTTTGGTTTCTGATCCATACTTTCATAATTCATATACCTTACCTTTTTATTTGCAGTGAGTACCCCTTGTCTATAATCCTAGTGGGGATTGGAGATGGCCCTTGGGACATGATGAGGGAATTCGACGATAACATCCCTGCTCGAGCATTCGATAATTTTCAGGTGATCAGCAATGTTTTGGTGTCAATTAGTTCTCGAAAAGATTGCTGGCTTGCTATGTTCATGGTTTTTACATGTGCTTAATTCTGAAGGACTGGTTTTCCTTATGCAGTTTGTGAATTTTACGGAAATCATGTCAAAGAAGGTGGATCTATCCAGAAAGCAGAAAGAATTTGCTCTTTCAGCCTTGATGGAAATACCTTCTCAATATAAAGCAACTCTAGAGCTTGGCATATTGGGGTAAAAATTCAAGCTTAAACTGTAAATCTTTGCCAAATTGATGTATCAAACCTTTAGTAACATGAAAATCCATTGCCTTGAATAAGCAGAACACGCAATGGAAATTATCCAAACAGGGTTCCCCTTCCCCCACCCCATTATGCTTCAGTATCTTCAGGCAGCAGCAACACAAAACTTTACAGCAATTCAAACAGTTTTCAGCAGAGGACAGCTCCTTATGCTGGATATGATAATGCAGGAGCCAGCACACCTTCTTATACAGGATATGATAGTCAGGTATTCAAACAAGTTTCCCATAAAGCCAGGTTTAATCTTGTTAATTTTCTCTCAGATTTGCAATTTATTTACTCTTTTTTTCGTACAGGTTTGCCCCATTTGTCTTACGAATCCGAAAGACATGGCCTTCGGTTGTGGGCATCAGGTAGACCAATTTCTCTAAGAATGCAAGCTTTTCATAACCTTGAGTTACAAGTAAACTGTTACGTTGATAATGTTGATTTTGCTTCTCTAATTGGCCCTCCTCTTTGTGTGGCAGACTTGTTGTGACTGTGGAGAATACCTTGAATTGTGCCCCATTTGCCGGAGTTCGATCCAAACTAGAATAAGACTTTACTAGCTAGAGTCAGGTTTGATGCACATCTTTGAGATTTGTTACCGCTCTCAGAGAAAGCTGGAGCAAATGCTCATGTTTGATGATGTACTAGGGGCACAAAGAAAGGTAAGCCATCAAAGAGCTTTGTTATCATTTTGTCGTATAATTTCATCATCAGAAAACAAAATGCATTCAGATGAGGTTTGCTGAAAACTGGAAACTTATGGGATTTGCAGGAGCAGATTGTCTTGGTTGATGTGATTCTTGGCCCATGGCAAGATGGGATTGGTGGCTAGGAGGACCTGTTAGGGTTCAAATTAGAAGCTGGTTTTCATGCTTGGCCTTGTTTATAAGGACAATTCAGGTTTAGATTAAGTTTCATGGTCAAAGTTGGCACTGGTTGGAGACACAATTCAGGGTCATCATCCTTACTTTTGTTTCCTCTGATGGATTGGTTTCGTCTTTCTACTATCATATTCTGAAAACAGATTAGAACTTGGCAAGAAAAAAAAACAGCGAGTACGTAATTTTGAGATACGAAAAAGAATGTGTTAGAATATTTTTTTATTTTTTTATTTCTTGAAACCTTTCTCTCTGCTTCTCTCTCTGCTTCTCTCTCTGCCAGTCTCGAACCCGAGACCTGATGGGTTTCACTTGTAGCTTAAATCCAACAGGCTACTGGAGACCCGTAGAATGCGTGTTTGATACTAGATGCTCGAAACTTCAATTTTAGCAATCATAAAAAAGGAGATAAATAAGTCAGCAGAGAATCAATATGAAGCCTCCAAATACTAAATCCCCCATGGGGAAGCCTGTTCAAATTATGACAATAACTTGGTTTTACTTCCTAAAAAATTCACGTTTCTGTTGTGAAAATTGGCTCGCATAAAGGATACAAGCCTCGGAGACAGAACAGGAAGCGACCGGTCGCCCGTTTCAAGCGACCGCTCGCAGGAGACTCTGCCTAAAAGCAACTGGTCGCTACCGGTCGTTTTTTAGGCAGATTCAAAGTCTGGAGTGAAAAACTTTTGGCAACCGGTCGCCCATTACGTGCTGTTTCGGATTTTCTCGAGTTATCAACTCTATTTTCAAGGGCTATCGCCTCCCACCTACTTGCAAGGACCCTAGGGGTCACTTATGAGTCAGATGAAGTTTGGCAATCAGTTGGGAGGATTGAGGGAGCATTGAGGTACATTGGTTGACTTGTTTCAAGGTGTAGCCACCCTATGGTTCTATATAGGAGTTTCAAGGTGTAGCCACCCTATGGTTCTATATAGGATGGCTGGACATGCAGCCATCAATACATAGCTTGTGGCTGGCCTAACCTGTGGTCCATGTCAAGTATTCAAGGGCAGAACATGGGAGACAAAGCAAGGGTCTCCTCTCAAGTCTAGAGGCTTATGTATTAAAGGAAAGAGGGAGCAAGTCTGCATAAGAGTATTAAATGAAAGGGGGCAAGTTGCTGGGAAGTTGAGGGAGCAATTAAAGGACAGTTGTTGACTTGTTTCAAAGAGTACCTACCCTATGGTTTTATATAGGGTGGCTGAACATGCAGCCTATATTGTATAGCTTTTGGTCTGCCCAAGTGTGGTCCAAGTTAGGTAACCAAGGGCAGAACGTGGGAGGAAAGAAGGAGTCTTTTCTCAAGTTCAAAGGCCTGTCTATTAAAGAGGAAGAAGGAGCAAGTCTGCATAGTGTTGGAAGAGAAGTAGCTGGAAACTAGTGAGTCAAGTAGAAGAGAGAATTCTCAAGTGTATCAAGGTGTGAGCAAGGGTGTGAGAGAAACAGATTGTGAGGGTTGTGTTCTAAGGGGGTTTCTGTGTAAACCAAAGTTGTAACCTATCTGCATTAGTGAAATTTCTCAAGGGAATCACCAAAGAGGATGTAGGCAAATTGCTGAACCTCTATAAACACTTGTGTCATTTGTGCTTGATTTATTTTGTGTGTGTGTGTGTGTAAAATTCATCCATCATTGAGTCTTGTCCAAAGTCCATCAACAACAAGGTCTAAAGGGGAGCGAGTTGGTTCTAATTCACAACAGTTTCCTTGTACACTTTTCATAACTACCAAGAGTACAATATGTCTTGACGGCTTACAACATGACTGATTGGCAAAACTTTCTTCAACACATTCTCCAGGAATCACACAAGACCAGAAGACCTATAAATACACAATTAGTAGTAATCTGATTCAGGCACATAAACATCTGACAGCAAAGAGCCCTCCAGGCTCCTTCCCTCAGGCTCACAAAGAAATTTGTTGTCCTTTAAGTAGGCGTCGATTTCTGCAATGACTGGGTTCAGATTTGAATCGCCTCGTTCTCTTAGTGCATTCAGGAAGTTGTCTGAAATGATGTTCAGCATCTTCCTGAATTGAGATTTGTACTTTTTGAAGAGAGAGTACCCTGCCATCTGTTAAAACATTGAACACTTAGGTTGAAAGGGTTTTCCTATTTCTTTTCTACAAACAATATTAACTTCCATAACAACTTACGTGTAGAAATGCGTTAAGTGCAACAGCAGTATATCTGTTGGCAGGAAGAGCATTTAAAAACCTTGCAAGCCATGCCCAACCTTCTTTCAGGCCATGCGCATTTTGGAACCCATAAATTTCTGTCTGCTAAAACATTCTTAGTTAGAAGATATGCAAAGCCTGTGATCTTAGTAAGCATAGCTTAAGATGCCAAGGAAACATTGCAAACTTCAAGCATTAAGTTCATAGAGTCAAACCTGAACCAGTGCCCCATATAGTTTCATATATGACTCTAATCGTGCCAAATAATTGTCAACACTCTCAATCTTTCCTTCATCTTCTTGGAATCCAATAGCTTTATAGTATGCCTCTTTTGATTCAAATGCTGACTGCAGTGAAAAATCATAACTCATAAAAAACAGCAGTAGAAATAACAAGAGATGCACTTCCAGCAAAATAAATTCCACCTAGAATATTAGAAAAATTGTCAAAGGTCCAAAAGGAACAGTTCATAAAAATTAAATTTGCAATTTCATGGTCCCCAACGTTTGTGAACTCCAGCATCCCATGGCCCCTACTTTCATACTCAGAACTCGTCTCAATTGCAGATTAGCAATGAATGCACTTGTAAATTGTGGATCCAAGGATTGAATGCCAGTTCAGCATACCTACTCCTTATTGTGCGACTATGGAATAAAAGTAGGTTTTTATATATAAATAATTCCCTGACTAAGATCTAAAATTATACCTGAATCTTCTAAAATGATTGAACACTTCCGAACCTCCTCTTAATGCTTGCTAACAAAGAAAGAGTGATTTCCCAGATAAATTTTAATGGATTATATACAAAATTCATAGAATTTAAAGAAAAGAGAACTTTTCTACACACCCAGTTATTCATGAACCAAGTTGGGTAAGGATCAATAGAGATGCAATCTTATTCTAAATGGTTTTTTAATCAATCACGTGGGGTCAGGATAAATAGAGATGGAAGCTTATTCTAAATGTTTTATTGGAGACAAGATTCTCCCCCCCCCGGTGGGACCCCCATTTCCTCCTTCAGAAAAGGAAAAACGAAAAGACAAGTGAGTTAGGTTTGAATCACCTGTGAGTAGTGCTTTGGAACTGTATAGATGCAAGCTCTGTGTAACTCAGCAAGAACAAGATCCATTGCAGTTGGAACCTGATTCACATACACAAAAATGTGGCATGGATCAATGATTTCTAAATTCTTTTAGCTTAATACAAATCTAACTGGCGTTCACAGCTCACAATAGAAACTTCAACATTAGCTTGATGGAGAGCCATGTTATAACACTTATATTGATCATTAAGATCTATTAAGACTACTTGAAAAGCCTTCCATGGACAGAACCTGAGTTAAGGTCAACCATATGGAATCAATGTCCCATGCCAACTTGATAGACATATGCAGCTACATTCAAGGATAGTCCCCTGGATGGTGTCCCATCCAACCTGACTGGTCAGGCCAGCAGGATTTTCAGACTAATGAATCAACTGAGAGTATTAAGCAACCCAACCGTGAAGAGTTGCTTCTTTTATAATGTAAAATTGGTTAATATCATTATAGGAATACTATTTCAATGATAGAGATGTCAATTAAATACATACACGAATGCGCATACACATGCACACACATGAAAAGAAATTAGTCTCTTTCCTTAACCTGCCCTCTCATCATGATGTACCTTTGAAGTAACAAGAACAATGACATGGCCACATGCAAAAGCAGCATTACGCGGGGTTTTACAATTGGAGACAACCTGTAATATCCAAATAAGCAACCGATGAGCATAAACATTAGTACCTGTCCTGTAGGAGGGAGTAGAATGTTAGAGAAGAATAATAGCTGCAGTCAACATGTAATGACCAGGAATAAAAATTTTGGTGAATGACAAAGCTTCTCAAGATTGGCTCCACCTGGTCTCCAAGAAATACTTTAGACAAAGAAAAACTGAATCCTGCCATCAGATGGCCATACATAACTGGGGGCTTACATGGTTTTCTAGTGGTAAGTGACAATTGTTCATACTTATTTTTAGCATTTATATTGTTTGCATATGTAACAAAATGAAGAATTCTCAAATTCTAGATAGTAAACTCTAGCTTTCGTCTACTGAATTCAAACAATTAAAATTACCTTCTTTGCAAATGCTGCAACACTGATAGATTGAGGGCAGCGAGCATCATTAAAGATATTGACTAGTTCACCTGCTTTTTGTCTGAAAAGAGGTACACCTTAGAATGTAAATTTTCTCCTTGCATTATGCTTAAGAACTTCAACTATAAACAACTAAATAACCTCGATATATAACATGGCTCAGTTTTATGACCACTGTAAAGTTTTTTTTTAAGAGAAAAAGGAAAGGTAACTGGGAAAGATATGATAGTGCATGAACTAAATGAAAATATGGTACTGGATAGGACATATGGAAGACTATGGTTTAGTAGCCGATCCCACATAGTTTGGACAGGCTTTGTTGTTAATATTGGAGAAAAGAGAAAAGAAAGCATACAACAATGAGGGAAGGCGTGGGCTGTTAGCCCACATACATCTCAACTTGTAGCAAACTTCATGCTTGACCAGATTTTAGGGTGCTTTATGGAGAAAACTCATAAGGCATTATTCATGTTCCCAGTCCTCTACCAGCAAAAGTAGCTACCTCATGTGCATCAATGTTCAATACAGTACCACAGAAAAAAATAGAAGACAAAACAAATTTCAACAAACCACATTATATAATTGAAGGGGGATCCACCTGACCTGACACTGTCTTTTGTTCCTGTAATTTGCTGAACCAACTTAGAAATTTGCCTCTCATACTTCCTGAAATCCTAACAAAAAGAAAAGACATGGCATGACAAACTAAAATAAAGGAAGAGAAAAAACATGTTAAAAAGTAGATTAGAATAACATGACTTATCCAAACATTGCATAAACAGGATGCAATACAATCACAATGACAAGAAAAGATCATGATAATAATCATCAGTAATAATAAGAAATAATATACAGTAATAATATCAACAAGCAAACGATACATTACCGAACAAAGGACAGAATCAATGGAAACATGCATTCTAATATTGAGTTCCAGAATTAGAAATTCAAACAACATAGATATTAAATTAATCAATTCTAATAGACATCAGGAAGTTGTAGACAAATAGAAAAAAACAGAAGCATTGTTTCACAAAACCAATAGAATAAAGCCTTCAAGGCTTAATTTTAAGGTGCCAGCAGACCTCTTTGGAGCGTAATCTCAGTGCCTGGTTTTCATCATCAAACTGTTTAAGCTTTTGTAGTCTCCCCTGCTCTAGATTCAGAGCACTTTCTGCAGCCTTCAGTATCTTACCTGCCATTAAATAGCCCAGTTCATGTATCAGATGGTGGGAAACTTCTGGAAAGAAACAACTGAAAAGGCCATGAAAAAAAATAGGTGCAAGAAAGTTCCTTGATTTCGCATTTATAGGAGAAATACCTGCCGCTGGTGGTTTTCCGCTGGATTGAGCATTCAAAGCATTTATCTGAGGTCTGTAAGTTCCTTCTTGTGCCGATCCAGAAACAGCCCTCCTTGAGGCTTCAGAAGCTTCCCTTTCTGCAGCTTCTTTAGCTGCTCTTCTCTGAGCTTCCAAAGCAGCTCTTTTTGCATCCTCTGCTCTTTTTGCTTCCTCGGCTCTTTTTGCCTGCATACAGAAAATTCTTTCTTTTAATTAACTCAGTGAAAATCTACCTAAAAGTTCCAGCATATGCACTACAGTTACTTTCTTCTTTTCTTTTCTTTTAAAAAAAAAAATTTATATTGGCCAGAGCTATCAAGGTCACCATAGAAACGATGTCTGGGAAGTGGGAACCAGTTATGGGGTATCAAAGACAGGATACATGCCTAAAGAGGAATTCAGCATGAATTCAAGGAAAGAAAAAAATTTGCATCGCAAATGAGTAGAATTAGTTAACCAAGATTGATTGAGATAGCATAGGTTAGTGGTCGAGCATGTAAGACAAATGCAATGAAAAGCATATACAATGAGCAAGTTGGGGTGGAACCCTGGTTTTACCCAAAGTTCACTGGAACTGCTTTTACTTCAAATGCAATTTTAAAACAAAAGAAACCTTTCTGATGCATCAACAAAGAATATCTAAAGCAGTAACACAATGAGGCCATTGCATGCACACCATATCTAGAAACTAACCAATAAAACAGTAATGATATTAAAAGGCCAAACAAAAAGACCTCAGCTTCTGCTTTAGCTCGTTCTTGTCGAAGTTTTTCTTCTTGCAGAGCTTTTTCCTTTCTTTTAGCATCTTCATAAGCATCAATTCTTATTTTTCTTTCTTCTATTTGAGATCTGACTTCAAGGTCTCGCTGGACAGCAGTCAAGTGATTATTAAGTGCTTCTGCTCTGCAGGAAATTTAATAATTGTAATTATCAATTACATAAACTGGTAAAAAAAGATGAACGGAGATATTACTGAAACCAAGAAAGAATAAATGAAAGTTGAATTAAGCATTCAGATTTTAAGTTCTCCTTCATACAAAATTTTATATTATGTCCCATAAAAAAAGTTTCCAAACAAAACTGATCACAAGTAAAGTTATATTCTGGCCAATGGCCAAAAGAAAAAAATAGCAATTTTAGTAACAATATATAGATAGAAATTTAAAAGACGCTCCCACAGGATTGCAGAACATAACAGAATCAGAAAGCTTAAAGAGTGATATTAAGACTTGATTATTATTGTTGCCGGGAAAAAAAAAAATCAGAATAGATAGTCAATGAACAGAACTTTTCGGAGTAGGATCTTTCAAATAAAAGGTACCGTAAGAAATGAAACATTCGATCTTACATATTGCGTTGATATTGAGTATCAAGTTTTCTTTCCATTTCACATCTTTCTTCTCTATATCTCTCAACTCGAAAGATTGCAGAAATAGACTTTTGACTTTCAGTCTTCAGATCTGTCTCTAATGCTGATATTTGGTTCCTGATTTCTTCCTGTTAATCAAGCCAGTTAAAAATTTCAATACACCAAGGATGGAAGATCACACACACACACACACACACACACACACACACAGACAACAACATTCACACATAATAAAGCATGAGCTTCTCTACTACCTCTAATAACTGAACTCACACACACACAGAGACAACAACATTCACACATAATAAAGCATGAGCTTCTCTACTACCTCTAATAACTGAACTAAACTTCATCTCTATGTTAAAACCTAAACAGAAATTGTACCTAAAATATCTCTAATGTAAAATCAACAATTTATCTCCTTGCATAAGTAGTAACCAAAACAAGGGTTTAGGGTGTAGGGTTTAGGGACTAAACTTCATCTCTATGTTAAAACCTAAACAGAAATTGTACCTAAAATATCTCTGACGTAAAATCAACAATTTATCTCCTTGCATAAGTAGTAACCAAAACAAGTTTTGGGCAAGGATAAGTAGGGGTTACCATCAGAAATGAGGGGTATCTGTTTCAATAGCACAAAGAACGAGGGAATGTGTCACACTAAAAATCCACATACCTAAATCTACTGTGTAGAAATAATTCTCAGAAACTAGAATAAATTTTTTTTTATAGAAAAAAGTGAAACAACACACCAAGACGTCACCAAATCCATAGCTACACACCTTCACTCTGAACTGATGTTCACGGGATAGCTCGAACAAACTACTTTCCCCTGATTCACCCTTCTCCATCAGGCAGGGTTGGGCTTCAAGAGACGAGTCATCACCAGAGTCATCACTGTCACTAAAAGAGAGAAATGAAACCATATATCATATTGTTAAATATGGATGAAAAAAAAAATTACTATAACATTGAGGCAAAAACTTCAATAAATAGCCAGAAAGACAAGGAAAAAAAACATGATATCTTCAATGGTTTATGTCATACTGAGCTTATATGATCCAGTACGCATTTAGACAAGAGAATAAAGGAAGATGACAAAATAAGGGTAGATGTCAAAAAAGGCTTTTGTATGAAGAAACAAAAGTGGGAAATTTAATTGCATACCTGAGATAAAGATCATCAAAATTAAACCGTTTAGCTGCCACAGAACTTTGATCATGAGCCTCCTCATCTTCACTGTCAATGTTGTCCATCTCATCTTCGAAGACACGCATAACAAATGGGCTAGCAGAAGTCCTCCCATTGCTCTTTGAATCGGATATATCTCTAACCAAAGTTGCAAATGGTAAAGCACACAAAAGGAAATAATACTGTTATTCATTCTTGGAGGGAAAATCACAAACACACAAATGCATACATACCGTGGTCTTTCTTTAGTAAAAGGCACTGAAACCTTAGAAGAGCTGTTGATCTTTCTTTCCAATTCATCTATCTCCGATAGCAGAGCTTCGAAGCTCCAATCAGGCTCAGGGTCAAGTGCAATTCCATCAACTTTTTGGGGACAACGAAGCTCCAACTTAAAAGCTCCCCTAAATCCCCACAAACAATCGCGATTAAATTGCAACATAAAAATCCAAAGATTAAAATAATTCGTAGAGAATAAACTATGTCACGTTATGAACAAATCTTACATTGCCTAATGCTCCGACGATGAGCTCCAAGTATAACAAGCACTGGGTTATAAAACCCTAATCGGCGCCAAATGTGGAAACTAGCCGAATCTTGACTTTGAACTGTGAGAATACAAAATTAACCTGAAGAGTACTTTGAATTGAACCAGCGATCGTAAATGGCTAGTCTTGAGATTGAGAGCGGATGCGGCTAGAACCCGCGAACTATTTTTTCGAATTTGAGGTTGCAGAAACTCAGTTCGCGCGTTCGCATTTGTCTTCGACACTCTAAAATAACAACTCTCACACAGTGGCGTTGAGTTTAGGACCGTTGGAGAAAGAAGCCAAGTTTTCTAGGGTCCTCTCCTCTCTCTCCTCTGCGGTGAACATACGCGACATAAACAGATATTGACCCCTGAACTTTTGCAAAAATATCAATATCCTCCATTTAGAGTTTTACTTTTGCAATGATCCCCTTACACGGTGGACCTAAAACTGGACCCTTGGTGATATTCATAAGCCTGATCCGTACGATATTTTATGGGCTTCATTGGGCCTCATCCCTTACACTGTACTATATTCACTCAACAATTTGATGTGTGCACCCAACATCAATTTTTTTTATTATACTCAATAAAATATGGACACTACTTCGCTCCTTCCTTGGAAGGAAACATTCCTACTTCCTGCAAATCACAGTTTGATACATATGCAAAAAGAATAAAATATGGACACTACTTCGCTCCTTCCTTGGAAGGAAACATTCCTACTTCCTGCAAATCACAGTTTGACACATATGCAAAAAGAATTCATCAAAAACACCAAAAGAAAAATCTCTGCACATACGTCAACTTGTGATTGGCAAGAAAGTTTTTTTTTATTTATAAAATATAAAAAAAAATGAAAAATAAAAATAAAAACTGAAGACAATTTAAGGTCATTGTTGGTTTGGTTGATATGCTGGGACTGTGGACAGCCTACGTGTAACATAAAGACAATACAATCTCAAATCAACAATAAGTGATGTCTTGAAAGGAATTAAAACATTATAATGTGCATTGCCTTTTAAGGTTGCCAAAGTCCAAAAAGTCCAAATGACCATTATTTTATGGCTCCTCGTTCCTTAAGTGAATGGGTTTGGTCTTTACATTTGTTGCTTTTGCCTATGTTGCTCATACGTGACCTCAATCTATTACTTGGCGTGTTTCCAACATCAGCGGCCAATGCAAAAAGGAACATATTATTCGTCATCTCAAAACTACCCCCACTTAATCTGGCTAGCTAAACTGCTAACATCATCCACGAAACTACCAGTCAAATAGACTTAATAAATCCTACTTTGTTCAATTCAGTCCTAATTAATCGTACGGGACTCACTTACGAGTCTCTTAGATTTTAGGGCCCTGTGCAAAATGAGAACTAGGAACTCCTAAAACAATTAAGTCCTAGTATTGTATGCACATTTTCACATATTAAAGTTCAAATACACTTTAACGAATGAATTGTGAAAAACAAGTTTTAATCTTAAAGACTAAGAAAAGAATCTTTATAAATATTATATTGACTTGTATCAAGCCAGAACACATCCATATCAATGATCAAAACAAATAATATTAATGGAGTGTTAGTTGGATTCTTCCCAATTAATCTTTGGGTTCAAGTCTCTATAGTATCCTTTGTATGTGAGTTTTCTCAGCCCCTTTTTACATTTGGCAAAAAAAAATAAAATTTAAACAAATAATGAAATATAACACCACAATCTGTTGTTGATATTTTTTTGAGTGAAAATCTGTTCTTGATATTATGTACAGTGTTAATACTTTTTTCAAACTTGTCAGTAGCTATAAAGCAAAATAAATGTAAATCCAGTAAAAAGCCTTGTTTGTTTCCCTTTATTAGATTTTATTTTGTTTTTCAAAAGCCCTATAATATTATATATATATTTATTTGTAGTACATGAGTGTGGTGGGCCTTGAATTAGAACTATATAAATTGAAGATCAAGCTCCCATATATTCTCAAAAAATCATCCACAGACGAACAATCAATCACAGCACAACAAACCCCAACCATGGTTGCTCCTAGCTCTACCCCGATTATCTCATCCTTCTCCTTCCTCGCGATCATCGCTTCTCTTCTCACAGTCGCGGTCCTGCCTGCAACAGTCTCAGCTGTGCCACTCTCCACTAGCTCACGGTGGATCGTCGACGAGAGCGGGCAGCGCGTGAAGCTGGCCTGCGTGAACTGGGTGTCGCATCTCGAAGCCGTCGTCGCCGAAGGCCTGAGCAAGCAGCCGGTGGACGCCATCTCCAAACGCATCGCGTCGTTGGGCTTCAACTGCGTCAGGCTGACGTGGCCAACCTTCTTGGCCACCAATGATACGCTGGCATCTGTCACTGTTCGACAGTCGTTTCAGAGCCTCGGCCTCAGCGAATCCATTGCTGGTCTCCAGTCCAACAACCCCTCCATCATCGATCTCACCCTCATACAAGCTTTCCAGGTATGTTCGTGCCCCTGATTTTCTCGGGAAACAAACAGAACAAAGGAAAAGAAAATGTAGACTTAAGAACCGGAAGGAATCTTCATTTGCATTTCTTCTCATTTTTTTAATTTAATTTCTTAATTCTGCATGGGCCCCACAAACACGAGCTTTTCTCCAGGTTAAGTTATACGGCTTTAATTCTGCATGGGCCCCACAAACATGGTACGTCATGATCATTTGTATTTTCTACAAGATCAACGGCTTACACTGTTTACACACCAATCTCTTTTTCCAAGTGTCTATTTTCAACTTCATCGTTCAATTATTATGCTAGAAAATAATTTATTTTTAGTCAGTGACGGAAATAACAAAGAGTAATTCTTTAATTAAAAGAAAATCAACTATCAGTTAATTACATAGTAATTAGGGATGGTGACCCTAATAACGACCAGCCTTAACTGCATCTTATAAGCCACCATTATACTTAACCCTTTCACACACCAATAGAATTTTATTGGGTCCACCTAATAATTACACATCAATTGTTAGAGCCTGCTAAAATACAATCCGTCCACCATGCGAAAAAATGGAAAAAATTATGCTTTCACACGACAGTTTTAATATATATTTTCTCCCAATACAAGTGATATGAGAATGGAAAATTCAAACACACGACTTCAGGTGCAAGGTAACTGCTCATAGCCATTTGAGCGGCAAGTCATTTGCGACAGTTTTAAATTTTTTAGTAGCTTCTTATCAGCATAGAAATGATTAACTGGCTTTTTAAGAATGATATTATGTAATATATTGCTATATAAAGAAATAATGATATTTCATTAGTGTGGGTTTATTAAGTTAAAGCGAAGGATAATGAGTGATTATTATTTATTTATTTTCACTTGTAGGCAGTGGTATCTAGCCTTGGGAAGAACAATGTGATGGTTATACTGGACAATCAAGTAAGCAAGCCTGGTTGGTGCTGCAGCAGCTCTGATGGCAATGGTTTCTTTGGCGACCAGTACTTCAATCCTGACATTTGGATCAAGGGCCTTACTCGGATGGCCACATTGTTCAAGGGCGTGGCCAATGTGGTGGGCATAAGCTTGAGGAACGAGCTGAGAGGCCCCAAACAGAATGTTGACGATTGGTACAAGTAAGTGCCATTTAATTCCAAGTTGAAAATGAATCCAACCCAAAAGAAAGTGTAAAGGGCTTGATGGGTGGGCTAAGCTAAATACAGTGTTTAATAGCATAAATGGGCCTAGTCTCGGGCCCAGTTACATGGGAACTCACCATGAATGCCAGTTGGCCAGAGCAATGTGCCCGCTTTCGTGCACCAAGTTCGAATCTCTCTCTCCGTAGATTAGATTAGTTTAGAGTAGTTGTATCAACAAAAAGAAAAATTAAAGGTAAATTAATTAATTATAATATTCGTTGTGAACTATGTGTGGTAGGTACATGCAAAGAGGAGCTGAGGCAGTGCACTCAGCAAACCCAGATGTTCTTGTGATTCTCTCTGGCCTGAGTTATGACAAAGACTTATCTTTCCTTGCCGACCGGCCGGTGAACCTCACATTTTCTGGGAAAACAGTATATGAGGTGCATTGGTATGGGTTTTCAGATGGGCAGGCATGGAAGAGTGGCAACCCCAACCAAGTGTGTGGGTCAGTTGTAAATAACATGAAGAGAAAATCAGGGTTTTTGCTGGAAAAAGGGTTCCCATTGTTTGTGAGCGAGTTTGGGGTGGACCAGAGGGGCACCAATGTGAATGACAATAGGTACCTAAACTGCTTCATGGCTACTGCAGCTGAACTTGATGTGGATTTTGCTCTATGGGCTTTGGCTGGGAGTTATTATTTGAGGGATGGGGTCCTCGGAATGAATGAGTATTATGGAGTCTTGAACTCGGATTGGAGTGATATCAGGAATTCAAGCTTATCTCAGAGACTCTCTGTTCTTCAATCTCCTTTCCAAGGTATAGCGTGTTTCAATTTCTTTGTTGTGATTTCGAACGGTTCATCAATGGTCAGAAATCCCGCACGCACACATATGGCGCAGTTCTTTCTTTGTTTTATTGAAGAGATTCAAATCATATACTTCATATATATATTTTTTTTTCAGGCTGTAAGATTAATAATGTGTTTGTTGTTTGCAGGTCCAGGCTTATCTCAATCCAGGCTGCATAAAATTATTTTCCATCCAGCTACAGGCCTCTGCCTCCTAAAAGTTGGATGGCTTGGGCCATTGAAGTTAGGTTCATGCTCTCAATCTGGAGCCTGGAGCTATTCATCCAAGAAGATCCTAACTCTTAAAGGAACGTATTTCTGCATACAAGCTGATGAACTGGAGAAGCCAGCACAAGTTGGGATTATATGCACGACCCCTAATTCACAATGGGATACACTTTCGGATTCTGGGTTGCATCTTTCATCCAAGACATTGAATGGTACTGATGTTTGCCTAGATGTAGACTCCAGCAACACCATTGTCACAAATTCCTGCAAATGCTTAAGCAGAGATAGTTCGTGCGACCCCGAAAGCCAGTGGTTCAAACTTGTCGATAGCACGATAACTTCGACGTCTTCAAGCCCCATGCTCTAGATCAACTCAGTAGCAGATATGCTTGGAATGAAGATCACAAGTGAAGCAACTGAACAAGGGGACTGGTGCGCTCAAGAAAGAAAATTAGGTACCTTAATATGTCCATACAGGTCAAAAGCCGCATGTATTTGTATAGAAATAAAGTATTTGTTCAACCTGGGCTGTTCTGTAAAATTATGTAGTTTTATTAGACCATGTAAAAAAAGATAAATGCAAACCTGATATTATTTGGTAGAAAAAGAAATTAATGTAATTCTGAAGTCAGGGTTCACACTATACATATGAAAGAAAGA